CCTGTACAGTAGCTTTTTGTTACTTTTTCGTTTCAAAGATGCCAGTTCAGATCCGAGGGGACAACCTAATTTAATCGTTATTTTAAAACAAAAGGTTCTGATTCTTAGGACGAACACCTTCGCTCGGCGTTGAAGTCTCGCTAGTGCTCCAAGTCGACGTCGGAAAAAGTGATTTGTTGGGATCTTCGAGCTTGATTGCGATAAACAATACAAAGGAAAAGAAAACTATAATATTCTTTGGTTGCTTATGAACGAAGTAGTTCTTTTCATATTTTTTTTTTTTATGAACTATCACAACTTTAAATAAACACATAATTGAGTCCGTAAGCGAGTTGCATATTTAACGATTTTTTTTTAAACGAAAGGTTCAAAGAAAAAGATAAGTTTCTCTTCAAATTACAAAGAGTAATTTAAAGAAAATAATTTATTTTCAAAAAATTAGTTTTAGATCAAATATTATATTTTATATTTTGTAGAATAATGCTTGAATTTGTTTTTTTAAAAAATAGGAAAATTTATAATCAACAGTATTCTTCCTAAAAAAATATTTCATTTGTCTTTCATAAGTAATGAAACAAATGCTACTGAGTAATTTTTATAGAATGAAACTACAATTCATAAATAATTTAATAACGATATTTGTTTACAAATTAAATCAAAAATCTGCATTTCCGGTATGTAAGAAATAACTAAATATATGCAATTATGCAGATTTCTGTATTTGATATTAAGCGATAATTAGCTTAATTTTATTTAAAAAAAAATTTGATCTATTCTGAATCTGAAATCTATTCTGAATATTAAGCTATAATTAGCTTAATTTTATTAAAAAAAAAATTTGATCTATTATGAATCTGAAAGAGTGTAATTTCGAGATAATATTGTGTCCTACTACATCATTTATTTACAATCAATATTTGTTTTAATGCCTTATTCTGATAAATACGTTGAAAAGTTTAATTGGGTATAATATAGCCTACGTTACAGGTTGTGTTGTTCCTACTAAATTTAACCTATGAACGGCATTTNACTAAATATATGCAATTATGCAGATTTCTGTATTTGATATTAAGCGATAATTAGGTTAATTTTATTTTTAAAAAATTTGATCTATTCTGAATCTGAAAGAGTGTAATTTCGAGATAATATTGTGTCCTACTACATCATTTATTTACAATCAATATTTGTTTTAATACCTTATTCTGATAAATACGTTGAAAAGTTTAATTAAGACAATTGTGTTAAGTTATGAATACTGTGAAAGTTTTCTTTTTAACAACAAATCTATAATATATTATTTCATCAGTTTTTTTTAAATCAAATTTGAAAAAAAAGTGAGGAAAAAATAAGTCTATTCCTTAAACCCAAAATCATTTAAGACAGAAGTTTAAGGGGCACCCTTTGACCATCGTATGAACTACAAATTCTATCATTAAAATTTTATTAACTTAATTACTTGCATATTTAGTTTAAAGAATACGATAATAACTCACAAGTTTCAATGGGCAAATGTACAAGTTTATTTTAATTGCAAATATTTTTTTTCTCATTAAATTTAGCTCCCAGCTCGACTCCACGTCGAAATCAAAGAGAAGCAGTTTCAGCAGTTGACCTGTTGCTGACCAATCGCAACAGGCCAACAGGGGTTTGAGCTTAATTGCCCCTAACGTTTATCTACACGAACGTGTCCAAACGAATCACCTCTTAAGAAACAACTTTACAGAAAATGGTCTGTCATCATTCCGATTTTTAAGTGCAAATCTGTTTTGTTGCCCAGTATAATCCCACCACAAACGAGCAAAATTGTACCACCGTAACGATATAGTTCAATAATGTTATCTTGGTGGTAACGGGTACCTGGCATTTTCCATATAAAAGTCCGACGTGAATCTGGCTGCCAACTGAACTCGTCGGAAAACATCATAAAAGTCCACTGCGACGATGTTCACATATCATGTCCTCTAATCCAGGTTAATCGCTGGCTACATTGAGTTGCCGTGATCGGAACACAACTGACAGACCGGCAAGGTCTGTACAAGGTATGAGTTGAAACTATGGTACCCTTGGATGTAGATAGCTGACAAGAGACGTCAGATGCTGGGCTCAGTCTGCTTCTTTTGGCAGTTACTACCAAACACCGATTTTTATTCGGCGTTGTAGTTCGGGGGTCATCTTTACTGTAATTGACATTTCCATCATCTTGGAACTGTTGCTAAAGCACAGAGATCACAATTTGCGCAATTCAAAGTTTCTTGGATACTTCCATCTGAGTACGCCTACATTCCATGCGAACTATAATTCTACCATGCACAAATCATCCATATGTGTCCCCTGTGTCATCGAAACTATTCGGATATGGCACTCAGCGGCTTACAGAACGCTTATGACCAATTTTATTTCTTTGTCACCATTCCTTATATACTCCTTTAATTATATTCTCATTATTGTGACTTATCTGCGTTATATAATGACTTCCTGTCATTTGCATTTTTTTTTTTTTGAAGAAGTGTGTGATAGTTCTACAGGTGAAATATGATCATGAGTATTGTTTGTCATTATCGAAATTATATTTGTCCTTAATTTTCAGTTATTTTGGTGACATGGGCGTCGTAGGAAAAAATTACCATGGAAAGAAAAAAAAAACAAAGATTAACTTTCCTGCAATTATTATACATGCATATTTTTCCTGTTTTGAAATATTCTATAAAACTTATTTTTTTTAAGAAATGGGAAAATGAAAACGTAATGAGTAAAAATAGAAACTATTTAATGCAAAGCTATTATATTTTTTAAGTGAAAATCGCCTTGTTATGAAACCAAAATTATTATGGAAAGGCTGAGCTTCATAATACCTAAAGATCATAAATTATATCATTTTGCGCATCTTAAAAACGTTTTAATCCTATTTGTTACAAATTTCTTATCACATTTTAAAATTTTTTTTAAAAATATAATAATAATAAAATTAGGCTTAAAACAGGTTAGTTTTTCATCAAATATGAATTCTTAGTTCTTTCTTACACATTATTTTCTTAATCCAAATTCTTTTAAAATAATATCTTAGACTTTTTAAAAGAAAACATTCTTACATAGCAGCGTTCTGTGAAACAATACCGACCGTTAAAATCCTCAAACAAGATGGTGATTCGCGCCAAAGCGGCATTAAGAACCATCAGCAAACGACAACAGGGGTGTTCTGAATAAAGATTTAGGAACAAAAATATAAAAAAATCCCCGATAGATAACGTGTCAGGTATAAATTAGACCTATTTTTACGAGACTCATTCGAGGGGCATCACAAACTCGTAACTTCTTCATCAGAGCCATTATAAAACGGTGCCAAAATACATCCGCCGCCATTATAAACGCGCCAGCTCTCTCAATTTATACCACGCTAATAAAGCGACTAATGAAACCATTTGAAATCCCCACGAGCCTCAGCGGAACGTCTTAAATCAGAATTTATATCCCGTGACGGTGGACTTAAGACCAGCTTTTAATGCTACCAAACTTCATTAAAAGAATCGTCAAGGCTTCGATTCATTTTGGTTCATCCCCATCTTACGATTTCAGCCCTTTGCTTTCTTTATCTTTTGCTTTTATACCCGAAGAAATCAATTTCTTTGCGGTTTCTTCCCCCCCCCCGACAGGGCAGGATTACCGCCGGGTTTGTCGCCGGAAAATTCGTCATCTTTTAACTAAGGATGTGTTGATGAAGCCTGTTGTTGAACAAGAGTGATTGTTCTTGTTGGTAACCATCGACGATGCTGCAGACGTTGATTAACTTTTTGAGAGAGGCATAGCAATTAATACCTGTTTGTTTTCAAACGTACTTTACATCTTAGTTTCACCTGTTGGTGCAATTCACATCATTGATGATTTGACTAGTATTTTAGTATGATTTTATTTGTATGAATAGCTTTTGTTCAATGCTTTTTGCTATCTGATATCCATTTCCTGATTTTTAAACTGATTGCCCTGTTTTCTCTCACAGAATATCATTTGAATCTGGGACTAGATAATAATTTTACTATCTTCAATTACTTTCTGTTTTTATTCATTTTTTTATTTTTATTATTGGTAAAGCCAATAAAATGTTTTCCTAATATCCTAAGAATTGGAGCGCTTTTATTAATTTTATTCCTTTCAATAAATAAATAAGTAAATCTGAGCAAAATAGGAAACTGATCTCTCATTTAAGACCCTGCTTACTTGTTAAAATGTGTTACTAAATGGCGATCATTTGGAAGCTTTATCTGAGCCTTTCAAGTCCTTTCAGAGACTTACTTAATGCTAGCTTTAATTCATTTTTGTCAATTCGTCAGAGCTTCGATACATTTTGGCTTATTCTCATCTTAGGATTTCAGCACTTTGCTTTTATACCAGAAGAAATAAATTTCTTATCGGTTTCTTTCCATTGTCAAGTTTGTCCCAAAATGCTCGCCAGAGGCTTTAGCATTGTATAACAATTTAAGACTTTTGTACTTACTTTTGCTTCACTTGCTAGTGCAGCCCACTGATTAGACTGCGTTTTAAAAAATATGGAAAAAAAAAGTTTTTTTCTTCTAAATTTTGTATTCGTTTTTTTATAATATTGTTTTTAAAAGTGAATTTGTTTAAGTCTCTATTGTTATATATTAAGTTTTAAATACATACTATATGTTTCTATTGCTTTTAGCAGTAGTAATTTTTTACCAGTTAAGCAAAAGGTATATATTTTACATAAATTATTTTATTCTGATATTTATTCGTATAATTTTTCCATTTTTTTGTGAAAGAGAGTTTATAGTATATCCTCAGGTAAAAGAATTTTTTAATTAATTTCTATGTGATGGATTCCTGTGTTTTTATATATTTGGTATTATAGTTAAAATGTAAAATTTGGGATAAAGAACGTATTTTAAATATATTTATGACACGTATTTCAAAGAAATAAATAAGATATTCGGATGAAAATGCATGCTTATTTTTGTGCTAAATATTTCTGTATTTTTTTGCAGATATATGAAGTACTTATATGCTTATGAGTGTGACAAAGAAAAACTGAGCACTCAAGATGAGCTACAAGCAGCTATAGATGGCAATCGCCGAGAGGGACGACGTGCAGGCTACAGCCCTTACGGAGAGTTGGTCCCTGGTCCCCCAAGGAACTCTCATCACCAGCCTCTACCTTCACACACCTCACCTATGAGTCTGGTGTCACGGCACATGAACGGACATGGTCCGAACCCAGGACTTACATCTAACAGAGGCACGTCGTCACCTCTACCACTCTCCTATTACACACCACCACCTCAACATAACAGCACGTCACAAATGCCTCTCAATTTGGCACCCCCTCAAGAAAACGGCATTTACAATAGCAATCATGCACTTTCATCAGGTAGGTTCTCTAATGTCATTTACAATAATTTAGCCCTACAAGTACAACAATAACAAACACCAACATTCCCTTTTTAATTTATTATTATTATTATTTGAATTTTATGTAGTACATAAATCCCTACAGGAAAATGATTTGCTTCTGTTACATGATTATAAAAACGACAATGTGTGTAGAAACCAATGCACTAGAATGATGTGCTTCTTTGAAAGAGGATTTTTAAAGCATCCAGTTTTAAAAATACTTATGCCAATTAATTGATGAAGTCATGAAATTCAAATGCAGACGAAGACTTTACTATGTAAAAGTTAAAATCAGAAAAGCAAATAATAATAAAAATAAAATTAAATAAAATTAATCTCTTTATGTGTATTTACATTAATCTGCAAAGAATGAATATGCCAATAAGATGCAGTGCAATTTTCAGCTTGAATCCTTTAAGTTCATAATTTAAACCGGCTTCATTACTAAACGAGACCTTAAAGTTTGATCACATTTTTTTTCTTAATTTTATATACAAAATTTCTAATTTTTTTTTTGTTTTTAAGTAATTTTTGTTAAATAAAATAAGCAAAAATAAGGTATAACACAAATAAAGACTGTAGATTTTGAAAATAAATGTAAAAATGTCTGCGCTAGTTACTTTTTCACCTCTTTATTCCAGAAGCTACTCCTGTGTGTTATTATTCATTTATGATGGTACGAATATTAAGAATTGTCGAAATAATCAATTATTGACGTTTTCCTGCGATTCCAGAGATAACCCTACGTGCAATTACTATTGCTGTTCTCTGTTGCAGCGAGTTTTATTAGATCCGTAATTTCGAAATTCACAAATATAATTTTAATATCTATTCCTAACAGAGAACAAATGAATCTTAATTTTAATCCTCATCATGAATCTTAATCGGGAACATTTTTTTTAATCCTCACCTCTACCCCACTTCAATCAGTTTTTTTTTCATTTCATTTTTGAAAAGACACTAATATATTTTTGAATGGGAGATTAAAAAAAAAATCTCTCACAGAGTGTCTTGATGTTGTGTGACGACAATAAACCTTTTATTTATATCCATGAATATGTCCAATCTAAAATAATAGATTGCAGGAAATCTTTCTAGAGTCAACCTGTGTGTCTCATCGCATTTTGGCTCCTTCTCTAAAATAAATTACGCCGCTGTCTTCGTTCCTTCATCTAATGAAGATGAAGTTGAATTCGACACGCCACTGAATCTGTGGCGATTTCCCCGTGATGGCCCATTGTATTCCACACGCCCCCTCTATCTTTCCAATTGCAATACCTCCTCTTCTTCCTGTTTGAATTCATCGAGCCGATTGCGTTTTTAATATCTCAAAATTAACCTCCCTTAAATCATCACTCATAGTTTGATGTTGAGTAGATTAAAAAAAAAACATGATTTAATGCGAGTTTAAACAACATCCTGTTACTTATTTTTAAATAGTGGTTTTAATTTGCTCTACATGTTGCACATTTCAGTCAATAAACTTTTTTTTTTCAAATTATAAAAATTGAAAGTACAGTTTTTTTTAAATAGACAGACTGTTTTTAATAGACTGTTCATTACATCTTGAGTCAGTCAAATAAATTATAAGGGAAATGTTAAAAAAAAAATACTTTATTTTATTTACTCACCTTTTTCTATTTTTTATTTATTCAACAAAATGCTTCACATTTTAAGCTTGGATTAGTATTCACTGTTTTTAATTGATCTATAAAGGGCCGTTCAACTATTAAGTTAGAATGTTTTTAGTGATTTCAGTTCCCCTTTTTTTTTTAATAGCAGAAATTAGTAACTTTCAAACTCCTTTTCCCATACGCCTAGTTATCTTTTTAAGAACTTTAAATTTCAAATTTAATTTAGTATTTTTCTTTTTTCTAATGAAATATATTTAATGTTGTAGGTAAGCATTGCTTTCACCCCCTCCTTCTTAGACGACTAAGCAATATTAGAAGCAATTTACTTTACATAATTTTATTTAGCATATAATGTTTTTTTGCAGTTTCGACTAAAGACTGAAATCATAATCATAAAATTAATTTTTAGACTTTGAGTTTTATTAAATCGATATTAGAACAAACATTTCTTAGATGATGGACTACAGAAGTTAAAATTATTTTCATTGTTCTTTCAATTATTTTCATTATTTTCATTCTTTTATTCTTTATTATTTTAATAATTTTTTTCATTCTTTTTTTATTTAAAAGAACAACAATAGAATGTAAGTAGATTTTGTAACCGTTGACAAATAGATTTCAAAATATCTGTATTAAAGAAAAATCCTCATAAACACGCGAAGAAAAATAATTTAATTAGTGAAAGATTTCTAAAGATTTGAAAAAAATTATGACTTAGGTGTTCGTCAGTAGCATATCAAAAAATATTTGAAATACATGGAATAGATTTATTTGTATGCTACATTATTTTACTGAACAAAACTCAGTGTTTAAGTAAAAGACAAAAAATCACATCATAACTCTAGTGTGGCAGAAACTAGACGTCCAAATTAACATGGCCAGCGGTATCTCACCCATTGTGGTGGTCGTGAAAGAGTGGATACCACCTCTGGAGAACGCACTAGGTCTACTCTTCGGGAAGGACTGATTGTGCAGCTCATTGGAAATTTAAAAAAAAAAAATAATAATAAAATAAAAACAGTATTCCATTTTTAAATTTATTTATATTTTTGAACTACAATTTTTTGAAACATTTTTATGTTCGCATTAATGCAAATAGAGGTACACCACAACTAATGAAACTAATTTAACATTTTTCTATTTTCTAAGAGCTGTAAAATAATAAGTTATAATAATTTTCCGGACTTCGAACTTTGGGCGGAAGCAGAGATTTACATTCCAACTCATTCTCTGAAAAATTGGTTAAATCGGCGAACCTAAATATAAGTACCTTGAACCATATCAGTTTTCTGCAACCTTAACTAGGGGTTAAATTGAAACACATATCGGTTCAAGTTGAAACATAGTATCATGTGATCAAATTAGTGAGAAATTATATTATAGTTCAACTTAGCAGCACCATATAAAGATTACAGCGAATTTGAACGATAGTATTGTCTAAACTTTTATAACAGTGTCGAGTTTTTGACATGCAGTTAGTTCTTCACTTAGTTTTTACTTTCAGTTTTTTAGTTTTTACTTTTGATATTTCAGTAAAATATACGGTTTCAATTTTGTTTTCATAAGAAAATAGCTAATCGGAATCTCTACAGTAAAAAGGATGTTATTGTTTTTATTTTTTTATTTTTTTATTCATTATTATTTTATTATTATTATTATTTTCTTAAAATTTATTATGGACTTAGTTCATATTTACTGGAAAACGCAATAAAAAATGTCTGCATCTATGGTCACTTGTTTCTTTGCTCTTATAACCTTATTTACATTATTGTTGAAACGTCTCTGAAATTATTGAAAGGAGTCTAAATTATTAGAAAAAAATTAAGTAAAGTTTACCAATAAAAAGTGCGAATTTGTGTAAATTAGGTTTTCATGATTCAGTCATACAATCGCCCCTAAAAGCAATATATTTGACAATTAACTTTGAAATATCTGATTTTAGTTTCTCGAGTTGAAATAAAACTTGTCTTCTTTTGAGTCGTAAATCTATTTTTGGGAAATCATTCTTTTTCACTGGGGAGTTGAAAGAATCCCCCACGTGACTTTCTTTCGCCCTTGAAATCCTTTGAGGGGCCTCAAATATGCATTTTTATACTACGCTTTTAGTTCGTGCAAAAGTGGTGTATGGCGTTTTTGAATAGATTTTATTCGGTACAGACTTTCTGACATTAATAAACATCTTATATGTAAGTTTTACTAGTAAATTTTAAATTATAATATATATGATTTTATGGCACGTAAACTTGATCTTCCAGATTAACTAGGTGTTAAAAAACTAAAAAATTGCTTACTTTTTATTTATTTATTTTTTTTTTTTTTTGCTGTGATAGGGTTTAACTTGCTACATACTTGTATTTTGGTACACTAATTTTCTACGATAAAGTTATACAGTCCGAAGTATCTAAAGAGTTAGTACTAGGTAATGTGTGCCATTCACACTTTAAGACAGAAAAAAACAAAACAAAACAGAACACCGTAATTAAAATCTTCTGGATTTACTGAAAATTAAAAAATGTTTTTTCTGGTATTTAGAATAACAACAAGACAAGTCAAATGGATTGAATGAAATTAAATTGATATTTTTATGATGAATTCTAATTGATTTAGTTAAATTAGAATTCTGATATTTAGACTAACAAATTAGGCGAATTAACTGAATTAAGTGAGCTTAAATTTATATTTTATTTTAATACCCAACAATAATCGATTTGCTTAAACTGATATTCTGATATTTAGAATAACAATTAGGCGAATTAACTGAATTAAGAACTTAAATTGATTCTTTTCCTCTAAAATTCAACTATATGATAAATTCTAATCGATTTAGTTAAATTGGAATTCTGATGTTTAGACAAACAATAAAGCGAATCAACTAGATTAAGTGAGCTTAAATTTATATTTTATTTTAATACCCAACAATAATCGATTTGCTTAAACTGATATTCTGATATTTAGAATAACAATTAGGCGAATTAACTGAATTAAGAACTTAAATTATTTTTTTTTTCTAAAATCCAACTATATGATAAATTCTAATCGATTTGGTTAAATTGGAATTCTGATGTTTAGACAAACAATAAAGTGAATCAACTAGATTAAGTGAGCTTAAATTTATATTTTATTTTAATACCCAACAATAATCGATTTGCTTAAACTGATATTCTGATATTTAGAATAACAATTAGGCGAATTAACTGAATTAAAAACTTAAATTAATTTTTTTTCTTTCTAAAATCCAACTATATGATAAATTCTAATCGATTTGGTTAAATTGAAGTTCTGTTATTTAGACAAACAATAAAGCGAATCAACTAGATTAAGTGAGCTTAAATTGATATTTTAT